CATTGGAATTAAAAGATGAACTGCATGATCATCTTCATTAAGAATTTTCTTTTCAAGCTTCTTTTGCTTATTCCTTTCCTAAAAATCATAGCACAAGTTTCACCTTTTCTTGTAATTGGGATCATCACGTAATGGCTTCCCATCTTTTACCGGAAGAAGTGCGTCAGCATCTTTAGTCATTTGAGCAGCACATATAAAATTTATCAATTCTGCAATTGATGAATCTGGACCACGTCTCTACATGGCTATTGAAGCTTCAATATCTGAGAATCCCATTTTTGGTCAAGTATAACAGTTTATTCTCCTCAGCAGAATCAGAATTCAAGATTTCTCGGTATTAGAAGAACTATCGATATCTGTGAAATCATCTTGAAAGGTCACTTCATAATCAGATGAGTTGTTATCAGAATCAACATGTTGTATGAATACAAGTTTTTCAAGAGCCTATACTATTGAGTTTTATTCTCAAGAGGTTTTGTTATATAATATCTACCTCTACATTTGTCAAAGATGATAGATTCTCTGATTTGAAGAAGAAAGATATATTGGGTTTTTACAATTGAAGAAATACTCAATTCACCAATCTGAAATCAAATAACTCAACATTCATGCATCATATTTTAGGTGTTTACAAAAATAGGTGCATTTTCATTCATTTTCATCTATGTTGAATTTTTAACAGGAATTTCAAAGATTTTAGCAAAGATTCAAATCTATCATTTGATGGATCATCATTTCCAGAAGAAGAGTTCATAATGAGAAGAACTCGTCATCTGAAGAAGGAAGAAGAAGTTCATAATGAGAAGAATTTGTTCAACATTTTTTCTGAATTCATCACTGGATGGATTATTTTTTCCAGAGGAAGAGTTCATAATGAGAAGAACTCGTCATCTGAAGAAGGAAGAAGAAGTTCATAATGAGAAGAATTTGTTCAACTTTTTGTTTGAATTCATCATTTGATGGATCAACATTGCCAGGAAGAGTTCATAATGAGAAGAATTCGTCATCTGAAGAAGGAAGAAGAAGTTCATAATGAGAAGAATTTGTTCAACTTTTTGTTTGAATTCATCATTTGATGGATCAACATTGCCAGGAAGAGTCCATAATGAGAAGAATTCGTCATCTGAAGAAGGAAGAAGAAGTTCATAATGAGAAGAACTTGTTCAACTTTTTGTTTGAATTCATCATTTGATGGATCAACATTGCCAGGAAGAGTTCATAATGAGAAGAACTCGTCATCTGAAGAAGGAAGAAGAAGTTTATAATAAGAAGAACTTGTTCAATAATTCTATCACAGAAGGAGATAGATTATCATCAGCCTTTCTGGAGAAAGTTCATAATGAGAAGAACTCATCAAAAGCTTATTCAACCTTTTGAATGACTCTATCACAGAAAAAAGGAGGTCATCATCATCCCCAGCAGAAAGTTCATAATGAGAAGAACTCATCTGGAGAGAGAGAAGAATTTATTCAATATCTCCATTATGATCAAGTGAAGCCAAATGGATAAAAAATTTTATTATCTTTTCATCTTTGCCCTATTCTTGTTAACACAAGAATGAGCAAAGAGGGGCAGCTGAAGATACTAATTTTTTACCCATATCATTATTATTATTATTATTATTATTATTATTATTATTATTATTATTATCATTATTATTATTATTATTATCATTATTATTATTATTATTATTATTATTATTATTATCATCATCATTATTATTATTATTAAATATATTAAATACATATATAAATATTATAAAAAAAATAATAATAATAATTAATTACAGGACCAATTACAACTGGACCGGCCCAGTTACAAACAAACTAGAACCGGTCCAGATCAAACCAAAAACCCTAAACATTTGGGGGTTTCAGTTAGGGTTTCATAACCCTAATCCCAGCCGCCTCATCATCACAGCCGTTGGATCTGAGAGATCCAACGGTCCTCAGATATGCCAGAAGAAACCCTAGGGTATCATTACCCTAGGGCCACGCGGCGCCGCCCCAGTTTCCAATCACCGCTGCCGACACTTTTTCGCCGCCTCCGCCACTGCCACGTCCCAAATGAAGACTCCAGAAGACCAGCTGCCCTCCACACGCCATGGCTAAGGGGTGAGTCACCACTGGTAGTCCGGTGACTCACCAAAACCCCCTCTTCGGACCGGTCCGACGGCCACAACGGTGGTGGCTATAAAAGCCACCACCCGAACCTGAAAGAAAAAAAAAAGGAGAGACAGAGAACACAGAGACAGAGAGAGACCAAAAACAGAGAGCAACATACTACCACAACTAGCAAAAACCAAAACAGAAAGAAAAAAAAAAAAAAAAAGGAGCTTACCGAGGAAGCCATCGGACCCCTTCGAACATCACCAAAACCTTCGGAAACCGAAGGTACTTCTTTAGATTCGCTCCGATCAGGAGATATTTAGGTGAAAAGAACACCGGAACCGTCCTAAGGACGGTCCGATCTATCCGATGGTATAAAAATAAAAATTTTCCGGCCACCTTATGCGGTGGCCGGCGGTGAGGGTCACGGCGGCAGACGGCTGCCGCCCGGTGACCGGCTTCCCTCCGATGAGGGAAGCTAGAGAGAGGCGAGAGAGTTTTTAAACTCTCTCAGTTTAGAGAGAGAGAGTAAATTGAGAAATGAGAGAGCTGGCCCTTCGGGCCAGCCGTTTCGGGCTTAAATAGCCCTTCCCAAACGACGCCGTTTTGGGGAGGGCTATTTGTGTAATTTTATAAATGTTAAACCCTTTCCGTAATCCCTCTGTTTTATATGTTTTACATTTTAGTCACTAAATCGATTTTATAATACTTTTAATTCAGATCTTTAATTTTAATTTCTTTTATTTTAGTCCTTTATATTAAAATAATATATTTAGGATAAATAACAGATTCAATCCTTTAATTTTAATAAATAATATTTTAATCCTTAGTTTATATTTTTAATTTATTTTATTATAATATCCTAATTTTAGATAATTTTATTTTAGTCATTAAATAAATAAAATAAAGAAATAGCATGTTTAATCCCTAATGTTTCGATTAATTATGAATTAGATTTTTAATTTTATTTTCACTGTAATTTAGTCATTTATTTTATATGTTTTTATTTATTTTAATGTTTTTAAAATATATTGTTTTAGTGATATTTTTATTTTATTTGTTTATATTTTTAAATATTTTTATGTATTCATAAATATATATATATAATAAATAGTAATTAAATTTTTTATTTATTTTTAATATCGAAGAAAAGGACAGTCTTAATACAACTGGATGTCATGTTCTGGTATTTTAAAATTAAACAATATTATTTAAATTAATATTTATCAATATCAACGAAAAGAGCTGTCTTAAGGCACCTAGAAGTTCTTTTCTAATATTTTTAAATAAATAAATATTTTTTTATATAATTTTGAAATAATAGGATTATAAAGTAAATATATTTTTGAATTTTTAAAATTTTAATAATAGAGACAATTTATAATTAAAAAGTACCAATTTTGAGTGTTGTAGGGGTGCTAATCCTTCCCTAAACGTAACCGACCACGAATCCTTTTTATTATTCAAAAGAATGAATTTTTGGTTATAAACGCAGATCAGTTCAATTTTTTAATTGATGTTTTCTTAAAACTCTTTTAAAAAATAATTTTTAGGTATTCGACCTACCTGACCCAAAAGGCCGATGGCGACTCCCCAAATTATTTTCAAAACCATTTATTCATATCGATTTTCCCCCCAAAATAAATATTTCGTGCCCGGACGAAAACCGGTTACGACAGTATCAAGAGCCTTGCACCTCTTATAAATATAACAAGTCAATAATTTATATTTATGTTGTATCTAATATTATTATATCAACGTATTTGGGAAGTTCTTTTAAATCCGCAACCGTACCCATATTTTGAAGAGGTGCGTATGAATCCAGGATGAGAGCATGGCAAGGCAAGGCAAGGCAGGCAGGAATTGAAATGACTTGAAATTGATTGATAAAAGGCAAGGCAGGTGGCTGTTCCGTATATGTTGCGGTCTGGCACGAGCCCATGCCGTAGGAATCAATGGTTCATCACGTGATTCGTGCACCACCCACGCTTTTACTTGTTCATGCTTAGCTTACTCCTCCATGTTTATATTTTTCTTCGACGATATTTACATCAAATTATGGTGTCAAAACCTGATAGCAATCACTGTACAGTGATCTGATGAATTACTTTACATTTATTAGTTCCCATACTATCCATGTATTATATATATTTATAATATTTAAATATTTCTTTTTATAAATCATTTTTTAAATATATTTAATTTACAACTTTCTAAAGACTATAGTAACAATGATATTATCTGAATTAATTCAACCATTATTCAATACAAAATATCTGAATTTGTATTCACTTATAAATAATTTTATATTTTTTTATTATGTATTTATAACATATTTTCTTATTACTTTTGATTGTTTTTTTATCGTTTGGTTGTTGTTGCCGTTTATTTATTATCATGATATTTATTTATTATCATGTTGATCTTTCATGTTTTGAATTCCTGAATTGTATTTAGATATGTGATTCGCTTTCATGATAGTTTTATCATGTCGTTCGATTCTGATTTACGATTTAGCGATGATCTTTTAGTAACTTAATCCCTTTTTATGATTCGTTTACCGATACAATTAAATATGTTCGCATTTATCTTTGTTTAAATTTTTTGATTAAATTTTTAAAACTTCTTATTGTATAGTCTTTATGTGATATTAAGTGATTAATTTTTGTATCAAAGATTTTAATTAATTTATAATAATTCTATGTGTAGTCTTTCATGTACACAGACCCCGATTCAATGAGTTAAATTCTTCTGCAAGTTTGCTTCAAATATGAATAGTACTCAAATTTGATCGATCAAGTATAGATCAATTAAAATATCATTTAGGTTTTTATGCATTCTCTCCCATCTTAAAGTTGAAATTAAGAGGCCAAGGTGTAGAGGAAAACCTAGATGTCAGAACCAAGCGACGTCCCTCGAAAACCTAGAAAGATTCGCCACCAAGATGAAGAGTCCTCAAATGGAGAGGGCTCCCAGCCCGTGGTTGTCGCCGCCGATCCCTTGGCCAAGGCTCTAAACAAAGCAACCTTAATGGATACCACTAAATATCCCCCGCCACCGTCAAACACTCTAAACGAAGCAACCCTAATGGATACCACTGAATCTCCCCTGCCACCGTCAAACACAAGTACCAAGGTTTTCTCTTACAAAGATAAACTCCTCGGGGGCACTCAAACCTTTACCGAAGAGGAAGACATAATCGACGAGGAGGAAATTGAAATTCTGGAGGGAGACGTCTCCCGATTGGTAGTGGATAAAAGTATCTCGATCAATTTTTTAGACCGATTTCAGTCGCTCACTGTTAAAAGCCTGAATCTGACTGTTGTCGTCAAACTGTTGGCTAAACGTATTGGCTACAATACTCTCTAGGCCAAACTGAATGATCTGTGGAAGCCGTCTCAACCGTTTCAACTAATGGATATCGGGAACGACTACTTTCTGGTCACCTTCAGAACTCAATCTTACTTTTTGAACGCCATTTCAGACTACCCTTGGACTATCTTCGGAAACTATCTCACTGTTAAACCTTGGTCGACTGATTTCTCCACGGCGCATCTTTTTCCTCGAAAAATAATAGCCTGGATCCGTCTCTTGGGATTGCCAGTCACTCTCTACAAGAGAAACATAATCAAGAAAATTGGAGAATGCATTGGAAGGGTGGTTTGTATTGATTACCAAACAGATAGTGAAAGACGTGGCCGCTTTGCTCCTATGTCAATCTCGATCAACTTACATAAACCTCTCATCTCTAAGCTACTCGTCAATGGTAACATCCAGATAGTGGAGTATGAGTCGCTCCCCAAAGTTTGTTTTTCATGTGGCAAGTTTGACCACGTTCAATCCAACTGTCCGGATTCTCAGTCGAAGGGAGAAGCTCCGCCAACCCTGAATCGCCTAGGACTAAACATCAAGCTTTGACGTCCACTGCCCCTTATGGTCCCTGGATGGTGGTCGAGAAACGTCAACGATGAGTCACCAAGAAACCAATGGTGCCTCTCGATTTAATCTCATATTGTTGGTTTTTGGCAAATATCCCACATTGGTTTTTATAAGGAGGAGAGGAAATTCTTTTGTTATAAATAGAGTCATCCTCCTCCTTAGTTTAGCATCCCACAAATATAAGCTTTCTTCTATATTAAAGGCTATTTTTATTCTTTCTTTCTCTTTGTAATATTTCCTCTATTAGTGAAATATTATTTTAGTAGTGTTCGAGGAGGTAGGCATAATTTTGGCCTAACCTCGTTAAATTTTGGTGTTCTCTTTATGTCTATTTAATAGCTATTGTCGGGTATAGTTGTTGTTAATTATTGTCCTATTAAAATTACTTGTCTTAGTAGTTCTGTCTAAGGAAAGTGGATTTTAAGAGGGACCATTGTGACCCCTCCTCTTTCCTGGGAATCTACCTTGGTGTGATTTTTAGTACAATCGTTTTCACACTAGCCACCTAGATAATAGTTTTCAAGGTGAATTTCTTATTATTGGTGGAAATTAACCCGAATTCCACAAAAATTGGTATCAGCGCTCTTGGTTTATTTTAGTATGCTCTGTGGTTGCGGCTTAGGGTGGTCTTCCACATCAGGAAAAAAATTCCTTGGATAATTGGCATTCCACATTGACAGCTATTAAATAGAATTTGTAGCAGAAATGACAGATGCAACAAAAACATCCACATCGTCGTCAACAGCTATGACAAATGTTAGATTTGCAGTGGAGATTTTTGATGGCACCGGTCATTTCGGCATGTGGCAAAGTGAGGTTCTAGATGCCCTATTTCAGCAGGGTCTAGACATTGCTATTGAAGGAGAGAAACCAGATGATGTTGAGGAGAAAGAATGGAAGAGGATCAATAGATTGGCATGTGGTACTATTCGATCGTGTCTTTCTAGAGAGCAGAAGTATGCATTTTCTAAGGAAACTTCTGCAAGTAAATTGTGGAAGGCACTGGAGGAGAAATGTTTGAAGAAAAGCAGTCAGAACAAGCTCTACATGAAAAAGAGATTGTTCCGCTTCAACTATGTACCAAGTACCACTATGAATGATCACATTACTAGCTTTAATCAGCTGGTGACTGATCTGATGAATATGGACGTGACTTTTGAAGACGAAGAGCTGGCTCTGATGTTGATGAGACCACTTCCTGATGAGTTTGAGTATCTTGAAACTACTCTACTTCATGGGAAAGTTGATGTGTCTCTCAGTGAAGTAACTGCTGCCTTGTATAGTTATGAATTGAGAAAGAAAGACAAACAAGAAAACACAAGTTTCGAAGCAGAAGCTCTTGTTATTAGAGGCCGTTCTAAGAGTCAGAATAAAGGAAAGAGAGGGAGATCGAAGTCAAAGTCCAGATTGAGCAAAGATGAATGTGCCTTTTGTCGAGAAAAAGGGCATTGGAAGAAAGAATGTCCCAGGCTAAAGAACAAAGGCAAACCTGAAAGGGGAAAGGCCGTCTCATTATCAAATGTGGTCGAGTATGATAATGCAGATTCAGATTTCGCATTCGCTGCTACGCCATCAACCAATTGTTCCAGTTCATGGCTGTTAGATTCAGCTTGTAGCCACCATATGACCCCCCAATAAAGAATGGTTCTTTGATTTTAAAGAAATAAAAGGTGGAATTATTTACATAGCAAATAATTCCCCTCTTGTCACACTTGGGATTGGTTCAATTCGCTTGAGGAATCAGGATGGATCAATTAGAACCTTAACAGGTGTCCATTATATACCAGATTTAATGAGAAATCTCATCTCTGTGGGAACCTTAGAGTCAAAAGGTTTAGAAGTGAGGGCAAAAGATGAGATTATGAGGATTATTTCTGGTGCACTGGTGATAATGAAGGGAATCCGGAAAAGAAACAATGTGTATTACTTTCTGGGTAGTACAATTGTTGGGACAGCAGCAGTGGCAGCTTCTACTGATGAACAGGAGTCAGAAGCAACCAGGTTATGGCATATGCGCTTGGGGAATGTTGGTGAAAAATCCTTGAAATTGCTGATAGATCAAGGATTATTGAAGGGTGCTCGGGCTTGCAAATTTGCTTTTTGTGAGCATTGCATCAAAGGGAAGAAGACGATGGTGAAATTTGGAACAACAATCTATGATACTAAAGGTATTTTGGATTATGTTCATTCAGATGTATGGGGGCCTTCCAAGACAACTTCATTGGGAGGAACACACTATTATGTCACCTTTGTTGATGATTTTTCCCGGAGATTTTGGGTGTATACAATGAAGACAAATGATGAGGTGCTAGGATTTTTCCTTAAATGGAAAAAGATGGTGGAGACTCAAACAGGCAGAAAAATCAAACGTCTCCGTACAGACAATGGTGGAGAGTACAAAAATGATCCATTTCTGAAAGTCTGTGAAGAAGAAGGTATTGTCAGGCATTTCACTGTCAGAAGTACACCACAACAGAATAGGGTGGCAGAGCGTATGAACCGAACATTAGTGGAGAAGGTTCGGTGTGTGTTGTCTAATGCTGGGTTAGGCAAAGAATTTTGGGCTGAGGCTTTGGTCTATGCTTGTCACCTTGTCAACTGCTTACCATCGACTGCTATTAGTGGTAAAACACCATTAGAGAAATGGTTTGGAGTACCTGCTACAGATTATGATTCCTTACATGTGTTTGGTTTCACTGCATACTACCATGTTAAGGAGTCAAAGCTGGATCCAAGAGCAAAGAAGGCGATCTTTACGGGGATCACCTATGGTGTGAAAGGCTATCGTCTTTGGTGTCCAGAAACAAAGAAAATAATCTTTAGCAGGGATGTTACCTTTGATGAATCTACCATGTTGAGAAAGGTGACTTCAGAAAAATTGGAGCAGACAGATGGAACTCCCAAACAGGTAGAGTTTAAAGGAAGTAGAATTGACCCAGCTAGTAAAGAAACTGATGTTGACTCTCCTATGGTAGAAGAAGAGTCAGATGAAAAAGAGGTTCAGACCCAAGAACCTCCACAGCAACATGAATCAATTGCACTCAGAAAGGGAAAGAGGACCATTAGACAATCTGCTCGTTATGCTGATATGGTCTCTTTTGCATCACCAATTGCAATTGATGACGTTCCTGCCATTTTTAATGAAGCAGTACAAAGTTCAGAATATAAAAAGTGGAGGATCGCCATGAATGAAGAAATACAATCCCTTCAAAAGAATCAAACGTGGAAACTAGCTAGTCTTCCGAAGGGAAAGAAGGCAATTGGGTGCAAGTGGGTATATGCAAAGAAAGATGGATTTCCTGACAAGAATAACATCCGCTATAAAGCAAGATTCGTGGCTAAAGGCTACGCTCAAACAGAGGGAGTTGATTATAATGAAGTATTTTCTACAGTTGTAAAACATTACTCCATCAGAATTTTGTTGGCTTTGGTAGCACAGTTGGATTTGGAACTAGTTCAGATGGATGTAAAAATTGCATTTTTACATGGAGACTTGGATGAGGAAATCTACATGACTCAGTTAGATGGATTCAAAGTTGCCGAAAAAGAAGAGATGATGTGCAAATTAGAAAAATCGTTATACGGATTGAAGCAATCTCCAAGGCAGTGGTACAAGCGATTTGACAAGTTTATGATAGGGCAGAAGTACACAAGAAGAAAATATGATCATTGTGTGTATTTACGCAAGCTACAAGATGGATCCTATATATATCTTCTTCTTTATGTTGATGATATGCTGATAGCTTCCAGGAGTCAGACAGAAATTACGAAACTAAAGACTTAATTGAACAGGGAGTTTGAGATGAAGGATCTTGGTGAAGCAAAGAATATTCTAGGCATGGAGATATCAAGGGATAAAAAATTGGGGAGGCTTTGTTTGTCTCAGAAAGAATATCTGAGGAAGGTACTAAAACGTTTTTATATGAATGAGAAGTCAAAACCAGTTAGTACACCTCTTACTCCTCATTTCAAGCTCGGTGCATCCATGTCACCTAAGGATGATACAGAACGGGAATACATGTCAAAGGTTCCGTATGCAAGTGTTGTTGGTAGCTTAATGTATTCAATGGTGTGTACAAGACCTGATATTTCACAGGCAGTTAGGGTTGTGAGCAGGTATATGCATGATCCTAGAAAGGAGCAGTGGGAAGCTGTGAAATGGATTCTACGGTATATTCTGAACACCGTAGATGTCGGTTTGGTCTTTCAGCAGGACAAACAAGATGGTCAGTGTGTAGTTGGGTATTGTGATTCAGACTATGCAGGTGATTTGGACAAGCGTCGATCAACTACTGGTTATGTGTTTACATTTACAAAAGCACCAGTCAGTTGGAAGTCCACCTTACAGTCAACAGTGGCTTTGTCTACTACAGAGGCAGAGTATATGGCAGTTACAGAGGCTGTGAAGGAGGCAATTTGGCTTCAAGGGTTGTTTGGTGAATTGGGAATGGAACAAAAGCACATCAAAGTGCACTGGGACAGTCAGAGTGTTATTCATTTAGCAAAGAACCAAGTTTACCATGCAAGGACGAAGCACATCGATGTTCGATATCACTTTGTACGAGAGATTCTAGAAGAAGGTGGAGTCATAATCCAGAAGATTCAGACCACTGAGAATCATGCTGATATGTTGACAAAAGTGGTAACTACGGTCAAGTTTAAACATTGTTTAGACTTGGTCAATATTGTTACAAATTAAAAGATGAATTTGCAGACACCACTGAAGATTGGATTTTTTGAGAGACGTGTGTGGAATTTGCCAAGGTGGAGATTTGTTGGTTTTTGGCAAATATCCCACATTGGTTTTGTATAAGGAGGAGGGGAAATTCTTTTGTTATAAATAGAGCCCTCCTCCTCCTTAGTTTAGCATCCCATAAATATAAGACTTCTTCTATATTAAAGGCTATTTGTATTCTTTCTTTCTCTTTGTAATATTTCCTCTACTAGTGAAATATTATTTTAGCAGTGTTCGAGGAGGTAGGCATAATTTTGGCCTAACCTCGTTAAATTTTGGTGTTCTCTTTATGTCTATTTAATAACTATTGTCGGGTATAGTTGTTGTTAATTATTGTCCTATTAAAATTACTTGTCTTGGTAGTTCTGTCTAAGGAAAGTTGATTTTAAGAGGGACCATTGTGACCCCTCCTCTTTCCTGGGAATCTACCTTGGTGTATTTTTAGTACAATCGTTTTCACACTAGTCACCTAGATAATAGTTTTCAAAGTGAATTTGTTATTATTGGTGGAAATTAACCCGAATTCCACAACACATATTTGAAGATAGTGCCCATGATTCAAACACTGAGCCATACACTACTGATATTGCCACTATATCGAATGCCCCCACAGCTCCCACTCTCATATTCCAGCTGGTAAAGACAAAACTCCAGCACTCTAGAGAACCAATAAACATAAAACCATAACACCAACCCACAAGCATTTGACTGTTGTTACGAACATCTCCATGTTTCAAGCCCCCAACACTGGTTCCATCCCTTGCCTCGTCACTCGCTAGACCCCTCGAGAAGCCCCCCGTGCTTCTGCTCCCCCAGAAACGTAATAAGGGTCATCACCCGATTATTACCATTTCTGAGAATGATAACCCTAGTTTCATCGCTATGCCCTATAATGCAACTAACCCTATTCAGGGAAATGTGTTTCATACCCTTTCCCCAGGTGACCCCCTGATCGTATTATTGATGACGGAAGATCTACCATTGCTGCTCACAATATTTTGGTCCAGAATTCAGCTTCTGATATGATTGTAGATGCGACATCATCTGCTAGCCTTAAACATGTTCTCAAAGGTAGCTAGTTGTCTTCTTTTTATCTATTTTTTTAATGATTTTAAAGATTTTTAGTTTGAATATGCAGGGTTGTGGGCACCCAAAGTTTTTCCCCGCTATTCGTCAATATTTGAGAGATTACAAACCGGACGTTGTCGGTCTAGTTGAACCCTGTATTAGTGGCTTTAAAATCGATGATGTCATTGCCTCCCTCAGTTTCCCCAACTCCCACATAATCGAAGCTGCGGGTTCTCTCGTGGAATTTGGCTCTATTGGTACAATTCAGTTTGTGTGGATATTTTGGTGAATCATTTTCAATTTGTTCATTTTCGTCTCCGTATGTAGAACAGTAATAGACAAATCCTGAGCACTCTTGTTTATGACAGTCCCAATGCTTCTATAAGAGGAAATTATTATGGCCCCATCTTCGCCACCTTGCTTCGATAATCACCTCTCCTTGGTTAATGTTTGGCGACTTCAACGTAACTATTAGCCATGATGATCGGATGGGATATGTCGCCTCCTCCAAGCCTAGCACTGCCTTCCGGGATACCCTCTTTGATTTTAGCCTCCGAGATATGGGTTTTCAAGGACCGCTTTACACGTGGTCAATGGGTACCACTCATGCTCGTCTCGACCGCTTCATTTGTAACTCGCACTAGGACGAAGCCTTCCCTAACTTTATTGTCGAGCATCTCTTTCGTATGAGATCCGACCACCGCCCCATTTTCCTCTATGTCGGTGCTCACCTCTGCCGCCGCTCTACCCCTCCTTTTCGGTATGTCTCTAGCTGGCGCTTGCATGATGACTTTAAAATTATGGTAATAGAGAACTTGATTTCTTCTGATAATCTCTCCGATACAATTAATCTGTTCTCCAAAGTTGCAGCTGACTGGAATAAATCATCATGGCCCGGTTGCATGGCGTCCAAAGAGCTTTGAGTTCCAGACCAAATAATTACCTTCATAACCTTGAAGATAGCCTTCTGCTTGAGCTTGAAAACATTCTAGCTCAGGAGGAGCTTTTGTGGAAGCAGAAATCATGTTTTGACTGGGTTCGACTCGGCAACTGTAATACGGTTTACTTCCATAGAAAAGCGAGACTCCGCAAGTAACATAATCGCATCACCGCCTTAAAACTTGATGATGGCGAATGGTGCAATAACCCCGCTGTCCTTAAGCAAGAGAGTGTTAAATTCTTCAAGAATTTATTCTCCCTTGATTATTTGTCTCAAGGTACCTACTGTATTGTGGGCCACTTTTCATCAGTTCCAATATTCATGCTTTCAGGTTTAGACTTTATTCCCTCCAATGAAGAAATTTATGGGGCACTTAAAGACATGACTCCTCTGAAGGCTCCTGCGCTCGATGGTCTACATGTCGAGTTGTATCAGAATAATTGGGATGTGGTTGGTAGCTCTGTTTGTTGCTTTATACTTGATGTGTTCAATGGTGGTGCTTTAGACCATGTTTTGAACCGCACGTTAATTACCCTCATCCCCAAACTTTCTATTCCTCAGACTTTTGCTGATTTTTGCCCGATCAGTTTGTGCTATGTGGTCTACAAGATTCTCACGAAGCTTGTTGACAAGCGCTTGCAACCCTTAATGCCTCAGCTAATCGCCCCTAATCAAACCAGCTTCATTCAAGGGAGAAATATCTCTGATAATATAATTATCAACCAAGAGGTTGTTCATTCAATGCGTACCACTAAATCTAAACAAGGATTGATGGTAATTAAAGTTAATCTAAAAAAACTTTCGATCAAATTCGCTGGGGTTTCATCTGTGATACTTTGATTGATGTTGGCCTTCCTCATGGTATTGTTGATGTCATTATGAGATGCATTACCAACAATTCTTTTCAGGTTCTTGCTATAGAGAGGCTCAACCACAGTATCGCAAATACGGTTGATTATGACTCCTAGGTCCCTTTCTACTTCTCCAAGCATGGTACCCTGCTCTCTCATCTCTTCTTTGCATATGACTTCATTATGTATGCTCGTGCCGACATTCAAAATGCTACAATGATTGACGCGGTTCTTTCTGAATTTGGCCTTTACTCGGGACATCGAGTAAGTAATCAAAGGATTCGCATCATCTTCTCCCCGAACAAGCCTTCTATTTCTGGGATGAAATCAGTAGGTTCTTGGGGTTTTTTGTGTTGATAACGTGGGTAAATACCTCAGTGTCACGGTTGTTCACCAGAGGGTTAGATGCTCCAATTTTGAGTTTATTCTTGATAAAATACGAGCTCGTCTCTTGGGGTGGGCGGCCCAAACTCTTTCTCTTCGTGGTCGCATTACCCTTGTGAAATCTGTTCTTGAAGCCATTCGGATCTATTTCATGCAAACTTCCCTACTTTCGAAGAAGGTTTGCCATGATATCGAGAAAATTATTAGAAGCTTTATTTAGGGTTCTTCCCCTTCAGCCCCTAAAATCTCGCTTGTGAATTGGGAGTCCATTTGTCAACCCATTGAGCGAGGAGGTCTTGGTATCTGCCGCACTTTTGATTATAATAGAGCTTTTCTCATGAAGATAGGTGTGGCTTTGATTACAAATCAATATTCTCTTTAGATCTATTTATTACGAGAGAAATATAAGATTTCCGAGTTGGTGCTGACATCTATTCATCGCTCTTCTTGTTCTTCTCTTTGGCACTTTCTTTATAATGACGGGAGGAGTTACGCCCTAATCTAGCTTGGATCATTGGCAACAGATCTTTTGTGTCGGTTTGGGATGATACTTGGATCCCCGCTGTTGGTCCCCTTCGGCCTCATGCTCTTAACAGTAGCTCTCCATATATTTTCCTTTATTTCCAAGATCTTATGACTGAATCTGGTTCATGGAATTTTCCCCTCCTCTCTACACTGCTTCCTAGAAATGTTGTCTCTCACATTGCTAGTATTCGGTGTCCTGTTGCAGGTGATATCGCTGACTCATGCACATGGAGTTGGGATGATTCATTTTCTATTACCAGTGCTTATGATGCCCTCGACCATGCTAATTGGGAACCTCGATCCCCTCACTGGAAAATTATCTGGCAACTTGCCGTTCCCCCTAGGATTAAGCTCTTTATCTGGCTCGCCTTCAAAGGTAAAGTCCTAACTAATACTGAACATCATAGGCGCTTTCTTTCAAGTACTGATTCCTGTTCTCTCTATGGTTCTACTGCTGAAACTATCTCTCACCTGCTTCGGGATTGCGTCCATGCTCGTGTTATCTGGCATCACATTTTGCCCAGCTTTGGTTTTCATGACTTCTTTGATTTGGACTGAAACGCTTGGATACCAATAATCTTCGCACGTCAACTCTTGTACTTATTCCAGCCGTTCACTAGAACCTAATTTTTGCAACTCTCTGTTGAAACATCTGGAAATCTCGTAACGGGCAGATCTTTTCTTGCTCGTGTCATTCTCCTACTGTCGTTGTTCAACGGAGTCTCATTTGGGTCAACCATTTCGAATCATCTAAGAACAACAATCTCTAGCAGTCCCCTATTAGCCACCCCTCTCCTCCTATCCAGTGACCTCTACCGCCTTCGCGATGGGTTGCCCTAAACACGGATGGAGATGTTTGTCCTTCTATAGGGAATGCTTCGATTAGTGGCCTCTTCCGAGATGATTCTGGAACCTGGATACATGGCTTCCATAGGTTCATCGGGGTCACTAGCCCCCAATGGTTAATTGTGGGCTATCTATTGTTGCGGAAGACGGCTATCGGATAAAGCAAAATCGCAACTGATAATTTGAGAAAATAAAAATGAAGATAAAAGAGACACAAAATTTACGTGGAAAACCCCTGAGTAATATAGGGTAAAAACCACGGGCAACGGTAGAAGAATTTCACTATGAGAAAATAGGAATTACAACTTCTCTCAATTGATCAAGGAGAAAACAATGATAATACTCTCTTGATAAAATGGAGCAAACAACTCTCAAGAAACTCTCTAAATTCTCTCTAGTATTGGAAGAAAGCTAGAATGCTTTGGGATGATTTTGAAGCTAAATGAGCTAGGGTATTTATAGTTGAAACTTAAGGACTAATCTTATAAATACCCTAAAGTCTAGGGACTAAAGTTTGTGATTTTACCATTTTTGTTTTCAACAAAAACTGCCGTAATAATTTTGTTTGACAATTGCACCATAATTTTTCAACAATTTGGCAGCAAACTTTGAATCAAATTCAGCCGCCCCATTTAATGCTTTGACTTTTCAACAATCTCCCACTTGAAGATTTGATTTGAACAATCATATCTTCACACCATTCTTTCTACCTTGTACCTTCATGTTGCTTACGTTTCTAACAGGCCACAGGAGGATCGACACCACATAAATTTATCAGCGTTGATCGCTTTCGTCATGAAATCTGCTACGTTGTCTTTGGTATGGATCTTATGTATATCTATTGTCCCTTCTTCCACCTTTTCACGAATGAAGTGGTACTGAACTCGTATGTGCTTTGTCCTTGAATGAAATGCTGGATTCCTTGCTAAATGCAAGGCGCTTTGACTGTCACAAAACAGAGAAACATGCTCTTGATTGTGCCCAAGCTCCTCCAATAGCATCTTCAACCAAATTGCTTCTTTACTGCTTGTGTAGATGCTACATATTCTGCCTCTGTTGTGGATGTAGCCACAAATGGCTGCAATTTTGAAACCCAGCTTACAGCTCCACTAGCAACTTTAAACACATATCCTGTAGTAGATTTGCTTTTATCCAAATCCCCTGCATAGTCAGAATCTACATAACCATTTATTAGTAAGTTTGATCCTCCGTAACAAAATGCAATATTTGAGGTTCCTTTGATGTATCTTAGGATCCTCTTCACTGTATTCCAATGCTCTTTGCCTGGATTCGCCATGTACCGACTATCCACTCCCACTGCTTGTGCAATGTCTGGTCTTGTGCATATCATAGCGAACATTAAACTTCCCACTGCTGATGCATACGGTACTCGAGACATCTCCATCCTCTCTTCTTCACTGCTAGGACTCATACTAGAGGATAATTTGAAGTTAATAGGAAGAGGGGTAGAAATTGGCTTACAATCTTGCATGTTGAATCGTGACAAGATCTTCTTCAAGTAATTCTTTTATGAAAGCCAAATCTTCCTATTACTTCTGTCTCGGTGAATTTGCATCCCTAAAATCTTGTTTGCTAATCCCAAGTCCTTCATTTCAAATTCCCTAGCCAGTTGTGCCTTCAATTCTTCAATATAATCTTTGTTGGGTCTTGCAACCAACATGTCATCCACATACAACAGCAATATAACAAAATTGATATCACCAGACCTCTTAAAATAAGCACAAGGGTCTGCATTAAGTCTGTTGTATCCAAGGCACATAATGAAGGAATCAAATCTCTTATACCAACACCTCGGCGCCTGCTTTAGACCGTACAGATATTTGTTCAACCTACAAACCAAGTTCTTCTTTTCTTTTTCTTCAAAACCTTCAGGCTGGAGCATGTAAATCTCTTCTTCAAGATTTCCATGAAGAAAAGCTGTTTTAATATCTAGCTGCTCTAGATGTAAGTTCAATGTAGCACACATTGCCAAAACTACTCGAACTGTTGTTAGTTGAACCACATGAGAAAATATTTCATTTAAATCAATACCTTCTTTTTGAGCATATCCTTTGACCACCAGTCTTGCACGATACCTCTCAACTTGATCGTCACCATTTCGCTTGATTTTGAAAACCCATTTGTTACCAATTGGCTTCCTTCCTTGTGGTAGTGACACAAGGTCCCATGTATTATTTTTATGAAGGGCTTCAATTTCTTCTTGCATCGCCATCATCCACAGTGAAGCATCTGAGCTGTTTATTGCCTCCTGGTATGTTGATGGCTCACCGACCTCTGTTAAAAGGCAGTATGCAATATTACCTTCTATAACATAATCTGAGTGCCAATTGGGACGTCTTCTCACACGATCTGATTGACGAGCTGTTGGAGCTTCAGAACTCTCTGGTTCTTGTTCATCATGTGCTGGTTCTGCTTCAGAAGAATCTCCTCCTTCAAACTCTTTTTCCACATGTATCTGAGTAGTCTCTGACTTTTCAGCGCTATCATTGTCTTCTTTTCTTTGTAGTTTATCTTCTACAAAGATAACATCTCTACTAATGATCACTTTGCGGGCAGTGGGATCCCACAAGCGATACCCCTTTACTCCATCAGCATACCCCAAGAATTTACATTTCCTGGATTTTGGATCCAACTTTGAAATTTCTTGGGAGTTGTACATCACGTACACTATACTTCCAAATATATGGAGGTTTAAATAATCAGCTGGTTTTTCAGTCCACATCTCCATTGGTGTATTCAGCTCTATTGCAGTTGATGGAGCTCGATTCACCAAATAACAGGCGGTATTGACTGCTTCTGCCCAGAATGATTTTTCTAGGCCTGCATCCCTCAACATTGCTCTTGTTCTTTCTAACAAGGTTCTGTTCATCCGCTCTGCCACTCCATTTTGTTAAGGAGTGTTCGCCACTGTGAACTGTCTTTTGATGCCTTATTTCCTGCAAAAGTCATCAAATTCTTCACTTGTGTATTCTCCTCCATTATCTGTTCTGAAACACTTGATCTTATTTCCAGAATCAAGTTCCATCCGCTCTTTGAAGTTTTTGAAAGTTGAAAACACGTCTGACTTCTTCTTAATAGGGTGCACCCAACATCTCCTGGAGTAGTCATCAATAAATGAGACAAAGTATTTTGCTCCACCTAGGGACGTTACTGGTGCTTGCCATACGTCAGAGTGAACCAATTCTAGAACACTTTTGCCTCTAGAATTTGATATGTTGAATTTCAACCGATGCTGCTTACTTGTTATGGAATGGTCACACAAAGGAAGTGTTACCTTTGTTAAGCCTGGAAGTAGGTTTTGTTCCACAAGGACTTTCATTCCTTGTTCTGACATGTGTCCAAGTTTCTGATGCCATAACATTGCAGAATCTAAACTACATGAGGCAACAGAGGCTTCTGCTTCTAGCAAAGTCTCTCCCTTCAACATGTACAAGTTTGTTGCTATCTTTTTGCCTTTCAGCACCACAAGCGCTCCACGGAACACCTTCATGATTCCTTTACGTGTTTCAATCTTGCTTTCATTATTATCCAACAATCCGTAGGATAATAAATTTTTCTTTAGGCCTTTCACGTGCCGCACATCTCGAACAACTTTGATTGTTCCATCATACATCTTCAATTTGATGGTTCCCACGCCAATGATCTCTAAGGCATGATCATTGCAACTATACACAGATCCTCCTGAGACAGGTTCATATTGATGGAATCATTCTCTTCTTGAGGTCATGTGATATGTTACTCCCGAATCAATGAGTCATATATCTGCAAATCGTTTTCTACCTTCCACGGTGGTTGACGCTTCACAGCATAGAGCATCTCCATCATCTGAAGTGTTTGCGGTATTGCCTTGTGGATTGGAGTTTTTATTTAGACTCCAACAATCCTTCTTCAAGTGACCTTTCTTTCCACAGTGGTAACACTTTAAATTCTTTTTTCTTCTTGACTTCGATCTACCATGTTTGTGACTGCTGCTTTGGCCACGTTCTGTTGATCTCCCTCTCATCGTTGTCTACACTTCTGCTTGTTGCAGATTTACTTGTCTGTCTTCCTTGTTCTTGCGCCGATTTTCTTCTTGTAGAACAGCAGCTGCAACGTCATCGAAGACTAGACTGGTGACATTACTGTTTGTCAAGTTGATGATGAGTTGATCATATGAATCCGGTAGACTTTGAAGTAGAAGTTCAGCACGTTCTTGTTCTCCTATTTTAAAGCTTAAGGATGTAAGCTGAGAAAATAAAGTGTTCGGTGTATTTAAGTGCTCCGTCACTGAAGTAGATTCTGGCATACGGAGAGTGTACAATTTTCTCTTAAGGAAAATTTTATTGTGCAGCGATGTGGCCTCGTACAATTTGGTGAGATGATCCCATATCTCCTTAGCTGTTTTCTTCTCCTCGATACTTGACAATACTTCATCTGCTAATGCTAGATGAAAGTTTGACATAACATTTCCGTCCATTTCGATCCATTTGTTGTCGTCTGTGAAATCTACTGGCCTTTCGCTGATAGCTGCTAGACAACCGTCTTTCCTCAGGATGGTCTTCATCTTCAATTTCCACAATGAGAAATTTCTCTCATTAAACTTTTCAATATCAAATTTCGTTGCCATTGTTTCGTTTACGGATAGCTCCCACTATTTCACTATCGTGAATAGTTCTATGGAACCTTCAAAGAATGGGTAATAACTTCTTACTTTCTTATGTTGGAGGATCCACCTTTTGGTGGCAACCACAAAGACAATAAGCAGATATTACACACTCTAATCTAGCTCGGATACCAATTGTTGCGGAAGACGGCTATCGGATAGAGCAAAATCGCAACTGATAATTTGAGAAAATAAAAATGAAGATAAAAGAGACATAAAATTTACGTGGAAAACCCCTGAATAATATAGGATAAAAACCACGGGCAACGGTAGAAGAATTTCACTATGAGAAAATAGGAATTACAACTTCTCTCAATCGATCAAGGAGAAAACAATGATAATACTCTCTTGATAAAATTGAGAAAACAACTCTCAAGAAACTCTCTAAATTCTCTCTAGTATTGGAAGAAAGCTAGAATGCTTTGTGATGATTTTGAAGTTAAATGAGCTAGGGTATTTATAGTTGGAACTTAAGGACTAATCTTATAAATACCCTAAAGTCTAGGAACTAAAATTTGTGATTTTACCATTTTTGTTTTCAACAAAAACTGCTGTAATAATTTTGTTTGACAATTGCACCATAATTTTTCAACAATTTGGCAGCAAACTTTGAATCAAATTCAGCCACCCCATTTAATGCTTTGACTTTTCAGCATCTATGATGGTTTTTACCTTACTTGGCATCTAGGCTTTGAATTCATCCAATCAAAAGTATATCAGCTCTTCAGAATAGATGATGGGCTATAGACTTCATTTGGGTTCCTCGGGAGGCTAATTCCCCCACCGATGCCCTGACAAAATGTGCTCCATCTTCTCACTTTGAGCTCACTCACCACAAGCTTCCGTCGAGCTATGTTCTGGATCTTATTCATCGTGACATCGATGGTCCCCCATACTGTAATTCTAGGCGCAACTAGCCTAGTTCTTTAGTTTTCCACTTCAATTAAAAAAAATATCATTTAGGCTAGGAATTGGCCTCAAGTTTAGGGCACGGCCCATAACTGATGCCTGATATGGCTTTTGTATCGTACAAAAAGGTGAACTGATTTGGCGACATTCGTATTCAAATTTTGAATATTTTAACTTTTTTGACGAAACAAACACGCCCTTCGAAATATTTTTCGGAGATTCAAATTCCCGCCAATACTATTCACCGCTTTCAAATTTATCGCTTTCTTTCTTCTCTACGCTGTTTTGATTCTGTTCAGGTAAAACTAGAAGCTCTCGTTTTTCTTTTTATTGTCCCCTTTTTAATAGAATTTATAATTTTAGTTAGATTTATTCAGGGATTTAAATAGCGTTCAAGGTCACTTTGAGTTTATCGCGGTTGCGGACATAACGGATGTTATTGCGGTCACTGCAAGTATTGCGATAATCAATTTTTTAAATTTCGCACAACTTATCCTAAAACTTGATAATTATAATTATAATGAGTCATTTTTAATGATGTTTAGAATATTTTCTAAACGAAAATGACATATATATAATATAGTTTAACCAAATAGAAAACTTTAAAAAGCCGATAGGATAAGATAATTAATGATGAGCTGATGAAATTGTGAATACATTATTATTTAAAAGAAATAAGATGTTCAATCATTAAAGTAAGAACATAGAAATATGATGTATAATAATTAAAGCAGCAATAGGACTAAATTAAATAGAATTAAAATAAAGGTATAAACTTAAAGAACACAAACTTAGGACTAAATTAAATAAAAACTAAAGTTTACCTTCTAAAGTAAGGATTAAATTATAAATTCTAAAAGCTTGGAGGAATGATAAATTAATATATCCTTTAAAAATATATATAAGAAATTATTTAAAAATAAAAAATAGAAAATGGAAAATGGGAGTGGGCGGCCCAATATACTTATTATTTTTTGAATTAAAAACCAAAAATAAAAACCAAAGAAATTTCCAGAAGCTATTTAACATTATAATATAATTCTCTCCAAGTCTCAATTCCCAAGTCTTCTCCCTTTCAAATTTCAACTTTTCGTTTTTCATAAGAGCGTCTACTCTACCATATTCTTCACCGGCGACGAATTTCATCAAACTCAAGTTTCCCCCAAAACAACTTTGTTTTTTTGGTTTGTCCCCTTCCCGATTTGATCTTTACCTTAGTGAATGATGACTGGTGAGTCTTGCACGACGATGTGCTTTATGTTTTTTTTATAGAGTTTAAGAGTTTTTTTAGGTGAGAATTCCAACTTTTTTACGTTCTTTTTATGTTTTTCAATAACGATTGAAAAATTCAATATCGTCCTGTTATCGGTGTTATCCGCTGTTACTTCGTTAAATTACGGGTGTGACAAAACGCTATCGACGTGAATCCGCAACCCACCACTACACTCAATAATATTAGTTTTGAACGATGGCGCGACCGTGAAATAACTCCGCTGTTTGAATCCCTGATTATAACAGTTAACGATTACGGTTAACTGTTACGGTTTTTTTAACACCCCTAGTTACATAACTCAACTAAACTGCCCAAGAGTCAAACCCCGGTCCTAACCAAAGCATCAAAATTGAAATTACATATCATCTTAAAATTTTGAGTAAGTTACATAACTCTGCAACAGATGTTTAAATTTAAGGATATAAAATCAGAAAATGAACAATGTTTGGACAAGTAGAATGGTTTGCAAATAAATGATGAATAACCATTATATTTAACAGGTTAATTAATAGAATTGTTAATAAACGGTTTCGGTTAATCGAACTATTAAAAATGATAACGGTTAAGGTTACAGTTACAAATTTTAATATATGATTAATCAATAGTTAACTGTTAATAAATTAAATTTATAATTATATTTCTAATTATTACATTTTTATACAAATAACTTAATATAATTTTCTATTATTTTTAATTTATATATATTTTTAATAAAATTTGTACACAAATAACTTAATATATATTTTTTGTTATTTTTAATTTTTTATTTCTTTGAAAATACATAAACATACTTATATCAATATAATTATGTATTTATTGTTAGGTAAAGATATTGGAAGATATACATACTTACACCAGTGTAACTATATGTTAAGTGCTATACTTTTTAATTTATTCACTTACACCGGTGTAAGTATGTGTTAAATGATGCATTTTTATTTTATTTTATTCACTTGCATTACTGTAAATATGTGTTAAGTGCTATATTTTTTTGTAGTATGAATTATTAAATTTTTTAATAAATAATTGTAACATATAATCCAATCGTTAATAATAATTAACTGTTAGTGGTTAACCTTTTTTTAACGATTATGTTACGATTAAAAAAATCACATAACTATCATAACAATTAACCCATGTTTAGGCTAAATGGTAAGATTAACCGTAATGAACAACCCTAATATGCACAGATTGTTAATTGAAGGCTGCAGGTGGCAGATCCTCATAGAAGTGGAGTTTCGGCTGAATTTTAATATTTTTCTCCTTCTTTAGGTGTAATGTTGGCGGATATTTTTTGAAAAGTACTTTCGGTTCAATGTTGTTTACAGTTGGTTTGATTGATAGGGAAGCTATTATCACATGGGAACTAATAGAAAGAGAAGGATAAAGGCCTTGGAACCACATTCAGAAATTAATGTGCAAGGTTGTAAGGGAGTTGATAAATCTAGGAAGATAGGTGTCGAGCAGCAGCTTCAGGGAGCAACAGGCAGGCCGTTGGACTTCTTTTAATACTTTGTCTTGCCTTATTAAGAAATTTATCCATTTTTAAGACACTGGGATTGCTCTTTTAACTATAAGTTTTTTATCTTTAGATTTAGGAAAAACAGAAAAGAATGAGCAGGCATCACCTTCTGGTTTGGGTGACCCAGTATCTTCGAAGTCTAAAACTACGACAACCGGTTTTGTGGAAGAAATTACAACGCCACCTGCACTTGACCTGAATACAGAAGAAAGACTTCATCCTTTCACTAAGATTAAGTTGCAGCTCTTTCCAATAGATGAAAGCACTTGTCTAGGATTAGAAAAGGTAAAATTGTAAACCTAAAAACCCTTCCTTTTTCATAATATATATGTAGGCTGAGGGTTAAAAGTGTTAACTATTCTTTACTCTAGGATGGGTTTCATTCATACTTGGAACTGACTTTAAGTGCTAGAAAGAAGATATCCTCTGTGCTTAAGCACATTGATACCAAGTGGGGCAGGTCAAGCATCGCTGTAGGGGAACCCATGCTTTTCCCATATTTAGCAGAAAATCTGACCAGTTACCGATGGACTAGAAATGACATTTGTATCAGTGCCAGGGATGTCTATGCAACAATTGGAAGCCCATCTGTGTTTCGTTTAAGGTCCAAACCTGACGACCTTTCTTTATCTTTATTTTTCATTTTCTCATTTTATACATTATTTATTGCGGCTCCTAGTAGTTTATTGATATATTGTAACTGACTTCCACTTTAAAGGAATGGGTGGATGTGTGATCTTGAAGCAAAAGCCTTGAGGCAGCCTTCTGTACCTGCTCCGTTCAAAAGCCTCTTCAGAACTCGTAGATGCACAGAAAAGTTGTAACACTTACATGCAGAATACTTATGAAAAGGGTGTAAAAGCTGAGATAACTAGTGAAGAATCTGGAACAAGTGGAGAAACAAATGAAGCAGTTACTGAGAAGATGTCTAATGGAGTTGGTTCAATGGTACAATGTCTATGGCCAGTTTTCTACTTATTAGCTCACCTAGAGAATAATGCTTTTTTCTATCTTACATTTTTATAAAACTGCGTTGCCATTAACCTGAATCAAACACGTAACCTCAGTCAGGCATTTAATGTGGTTACAAGTTACAAAAAGCCATAGGCATGGTGATTACTGATTATATGGTTCTTTGAGTACTGCCTATTATATTTACTCTTTTGTTTCGATGATGACAATTTTACCGGCTAATGAGATAAGGCTTCAGGATCACATTGTGTAAGTTATTTGATTGTCGGAACAAAACTTAAACCTTTATGTCCAAAAGAGTGCTAGGTTTCAATAAGCTTCATGTAAAATCATTTACCTTTTTCTTCATATTCTATATTGTTGTTTAAAACTATTTAGTAATTGAAGTTTTCTATCGTTGTTGGTAGACGAAACTTGAACTGCTACAAAATATATTCCTACAAATCAGTTTTAGTATTCAGTCACATTAAGCAATTCAGCGTTTTTGTTATTTTTATGTGGTATGTGATTTTAAACATAAGATAGTTTTGATGGAAAATATTGTCATCTCCATCATGCTTTCTTGTTTATTGTTAGCAAATAAGGTTGAGTGTGAATGAAGCTAGAGTGGTGGCTGAGTGGTTATGATGTATGTAAGGTTGTTGAGTGTTGTGAGTATGTGTGTGTGTGAACACATAGCTTTCTGTTGAGTTTGTTAGCTGAGCTGTCATGAGTTTGTTAGATAACAAGTATATAAAAGGGTATTAAGCCCTCAATGAAATGCATGGATTTACGTCTTTATTCTTGCTATTAGTTTCTCTAAACCAGTAATTCATTATGGTATCATTCGTCGTCTGTTCTTGAGGTGCTTCGCTTCGTTGCTTCAGTTGCTGGAAGAGATGGATTCGCTGGCTGACAAGACCTTCACTCACAAGAAGGTGAATGTCATCCTTGATGAATCGAATTTCTTACTCTAGAAGCAGCAAGTTTTGCTGACTGTTCGTAGTCATTGGCTTGAGCGGTTGCTGACTGGTTCGCTGCAGCCACCGCCTACCTTTGTAGCTGGTGCAAATGGTGAATCGGTTCCAAATGAATTGTATGATGACTTTGTCGCACAAGATAGTGCGTTGGCATCGTGGCTGCTGTCAACGATCAGCTCGCATATGCTTTCTCAATTTGTTGGGGCAGAGACTGCGATGGCTGCTTGGAACAAGGTCCTGCAGTTCTTTGCAAACCGCTCCACCACGGCAGTCATCAGTCTCCATTATAAGCTTCAGTCACTCCGGAAAGGAGATGACAGCATGCGGACGTACTTGACCCGGATCAAGGAAGTTTGTGATGCGTTGACATCGTGTGATAGTTCCATCTCCAATGCAGAATAAGTTGCGAGTATCTTAAAGGGTCTCTCGAGGGAGTATCAACCATATGTTGCTTTCATTACTACAATGAAAGACTCACTATCTCTCGATAAGGTATGTTCATTGTTGATTGATGTCGAAACTCAGATTGCTGGGTTTAACGCTCGAGATGATCAATTTCCCATGAGTGCGCATGTCACCAATATGAGTAATAACTCCAAGTCTAGTAATGCAAGCTCTTACAATCGGACTGATTATCGTAATTACTCTGGATATGCTGCTCGAGGACGAGGTCGTGGCAGGCCCAAAGTTCAATGCCAGTTATGTGGCAAGAATGGCCACCTTGTGGTTGATTATTAGCATCGGTTTGATCAGAATTTTTCAGGTAGGAGTTCTGGTCGTGGTTCTGCTGGAAACAACACTGGCCATGTTAATTACTCAAGTGTTGAAGGTCTGCAAGTAGATGGTGATGCGTGTTCTTGCAACACAAAATGACAGGTTGAAGCTCATCTTGCACGTCGTGACTCCTGGGTGGTTGACTCTGGCGCGTCACACCATGTGACTCTGGATGCATCAACCATTGATCTCAAATTTGATTTTTCTGGTCTAGGTAAGTTACTAGTTGGCAATGGTGTACCTCTTTCAATACATGCTACTGGTAAATCTGCTTTGTGTTCTAATTCTCGAGCGCTTATGTTAAACGACTTATTGCATGTGCCTAAGATTACAAAGAATTTGTTATATGTGTCTAAGCTTGCTAGGGACAACGATGTTTACTTTGAGTTTCGAGCTACAAGTTATTGTGTTCGTGATTAACGGTCTGGTGAGCTTTTTTTGCAAGGTGAAGAACGAGGTGGTCTCTACTTCTTTCAAGTGGATGTTAATATTGCAAGTAGTAGTCAGGCAGTAGCTTATTAAGTTCTTACTTCAAATAAATTGTATGAACTATGGCATAGACGTCTAGGGTATCTTGCACATGGGACCCTAGAACAAGTCTACAAATCACTTCATGTAGTTGTTGATAACAAATTGAATGAACAATGTGTTGCTTATCATATGGGCAAAAGTCATAGGCTTCATTTTACTGATTCAGATACAATCTATTATGTTCTATTTCAATTAATCTATACTGATTTATGGGGACCGTCACCTATGATTTCAAATGGTTACAAGTACTATGTGACCTTTGTAGATGCATGCACACGAAACACGGGGTTGTACTTGCTAAAGAATAAGTCACAGACAGTTCATGCGTTTCAACTATTTCAGCAACTCGTTTCTACACAATTTGATTCGAAAATACAAGTTGTGCAGAGCGATTGGGGAGGAGAGTTTTGCAGCCTGTCTCGTGTGCTTCTAGCAGCTGGTATTTCGTATCGGTTAACTTACCCACACACGGCTGAGCAAAATGGAGTCGTAGAAAGAAAACATAGGCATGTCATTGAAGAGTTCATAATATGAAGTGGGATTAAAGAAAGGAAGTAGAAAAGTGAAATCTTGGAATAGAGTTCATAATAAGAATTAGAAGTGGGATTTAACTTGTCATCAAGCTAATTAAGGAATATGAAGTGTTAGAATTAAAATTAGAACATGTTGGAAATTGAGTGAGATTCTTAAATTCTATATGGAGGATTATATTTCTAAGTTTTAGAAGTATTGAATGGATAATAATTAGTTTAATTAAGTGTATGCAAGCTAGGGATATAAAAGGAGGTGAATTATGAAGTGTTGAGAGGATTATAAAGAGATTTTCGTGCTCAAAATAACATTTCTGGGTTATTACATCAATGCACATTCAATGTGTACCGATGCATCAAGGATAAATCCCAGAAATTGTTCAAGGTGTATCGATGCACAAGTAGTGCATCGATGCACCCCCTTAAATACAAACATCAAATAGGATTTCTGTATCGATGCATAGATAGTGCATCGATGCACCGGTCAAGGGATGCATCGATACATGTGTAGTGCATCGATACATACCTTCATTAAAAGATGAAAATGACTTTTCTTTTTACCCAAGAAATGATAGTTTAGAATATATTAATTAGTATACTGATAAGTATCAATGAATTACTATGTAGATACAGAGCCTAAACAAGTTCCAGAACAATTGCCTAGTAAGATCGATCGAGGAAAAACAAGGAAATATAGGTGAGTGCATATGCATAACATGATTATAACGATATAATTAGTTATAGACTTGTGAGAAGTCTAGATTCAATACATTGATGCATGATTCATTTCATATTGTGAAGCATGATATGAATTCATACTATGTGCATTATGTAGCATGTTTTAAATGAATATGTATGCAAAGTTATATGAGCCATGTGATGAAGGTAAGGAAATGATATGTCTATGTGATATATTATGTAATTTGGGAAAAGCCAATGTTATGTAGATGAGAACTATAGGTATAGTTGGCATGCCAAGAGTAGAGGGTCTACGCGGTCCTTCAGGACATATATGTATTCTTTGGAACATGTGTGAGATCTTTTGAGACACATACTTGATCCTTGGCATATGTATATGATTCTTAAGGAATTATCTACGTGGTCCTTAGGGATAATTTTTATATGACACTACGGTGCAATTCTACGCGGTACTTCGGTGTAATTTTACGTGGCACTTCGGTGTATTTATACGAGTTGTGGTGATAGCATAGTGCACAACCTCACAGTACTCACATACCTTAGGTTCTCAGTATGGTATCATGGGCCAATAATCTTATTAATACGAATTCATGAATGTTAATATACTATGCTTACAGGTAAGGAACATGGTGATATAAACTGCATGGTTAAGTATTTGATTTCATCTCATTCCATTTTATTATGGCATTTCCATTACATTTCTTTGTTATCATTATTATTATATTGCCTCACTAAGTCGATGACTTAGCGTGTGAGTGTTTCACACGTAGGATCCGAGAAAGTAGACGAGACATGTTAAGCAGCTGGAAAACACTACTCCTGCAACTATCATATCAGAGGCAACTTAATCAGTAGGTCCTTTTGTTATGTAAATGAATGTTGGCATGTAATCAAAGGGTCAAGTTGTGTATGCTCTGAGTATTTTGATAAACTTGTATTAGCATATGTATATCATTATATTTTAATAATATAAGTGCAAATGTTTTATCGTTTTTTTAAGAGTATTGTTTTGTTTAGGCAATGTGACATCCTGGACTCGTATCCGGGTCGGGTATGGGTTGAGGGTGTTACAGTTGAAGCAGGTTGCCTAAAGGTGAGCTATGAGCCTGCTGGGTTTCAGCTTGCTGATGGATTTACTAAGCCCTTGACAAAGGCACCGTTTCAAGTATTTCGAGACAGACTTCACGTATGTCCATGTTAAAGTAACAAACGACAAAAGAAGAGAAAGATGGGAAAATGTTAGCAAATAAGGTTGAGTGTGAATGAAGCTAGAGTGGTTATGATGTATGTAAGGTTGTTGAGTGTTGTGAGTGTGTGTGTGTGTGAACACATAGCTTTCTGTTGAGTTTGTTAGCTGAGCTGTCATGAGTTTGTTAGATAACAAGTATATAAAAGGGTATTAAGCCCTCAATGAAATGCATGGATTTACGTCTTTATTCTTGCTGTTAGTTTCTCTAAACCAGTAATTCATTATTTATGTTTAAAACAATCATATATCATATTACTCGGCCTTTAAGATCATCTGCGGGGTTGCAAAATTTCATATCAATTATTTGATATAATTTTTTCCTTTTGAAGCACTTGTATTTTGTTAATTAGGATATAAATTTAGTTATCATATCATGCATAGTACATTTCAAGATTTTATTCTCACTGGCCAATAATCAACAATCAGACACAGACTTGATACTTTGTTCACGGGTATACAAGGATGAAAGCAGTCTGGGGCTCTCGGGCATCAACTGGGTACTTCGTTCATTCCTTTGATTTGGGCTTGTCTTCCCGCAAAGTTATAAGTGCAAGCAAGCGATGTTAGCATAGATGGTATTGTCAGGTAGTAAGTTCCTCTTGAAGGTTCAAAATTTATATACAAGGAGGAAAATGAAGTTCAAATTTTTATTTTACAGCATAAAGTTTCTCAACTTGTAAGCTTTCTTGTAAATTTGTTCTTTGTTGTTTGTATTAGGTTCAAAAACATTATGAGTTTCTCAACTGAGTGGGTGAGCACACATGTTCTTTATAAATTACATATTGTATAAATATCTTAAAAAAACATGTTTATAGATAAATAACAATATTTTTACAATATTAAATTTAAAAATCACTAAAAAGAATTTTAGGAAAATAATTTGCAAGTTCTTTTGGAAAATAATTCTATACACTAATTAAGATGTAATGTTTAATCTATTTCTTTTTGAAAAAATAAAAATGAAAGAGACTAGTAGAGCCGTAATTTATTGCCAAATTCCTTTTTATTTGTTTGTACTTATTTTTATAAATAAATTTATTTTAAATTTATAATTTATATATTAGATGTATTTTAATGATTTAATTTCTCAACAAGGTGCTATGAATATAATTTGTTGAATCCAACGGCATCAACAATCATAAATATAAATACAATTAGGTATGATTATAACATGTTAAAACTTAAAACTCTTGCATATTTTTAAGTAACTGAATACAATTAAAAATAGATATTTTTAATTTTAAAAGGGTAATTACACCAAACATCCTTAAATCATGCTTCAGTTATAAATTTGTTCTTAAATTTTTTAAACTTTTTTAATTACATCTCAAACTATCGGTATATGTTAATCGTATTCTTTCTCTAATAAAACTAGTAAATATCATTAAAAGTTGGTGTCAAGTCTGTCCTTTTATATGTGTAGCATGTGATATGTCACATTAGCTCAAAATTTTAGGGATCCACACTTTTAAAAAAATATACTAATAAAAGTTTATTTTACAAAAAAATTGTGATCCTTTATTTATTAATTTTCATGATAAGATTTAAAAAAATCTTTTGATTTTCTCTTTTATTATCTCAATAAATGAAATATAATAATTTTTTTCTAAAAAACCCACAATAAATAAATTGTAATAATGTTTTTCTTAAAAAATCCCACTAAAATTATAATTTCTAATGGGAAAAAATATTTTATGGACCTCATTTTATAATTTTATTTATTATAAAATATTTTAAGAGTCTCATTTTAAAAAGTAACACATGATTTTCACATCTTTTGAGATGATGTATATTATAGAATAATATGGCGTTAAAAATTGTAATTAATGTTGAAAAATAAACAAAAGAATGATGAAACCTTTATATAAAAGGATTGAAAACCCCAAACCATTGAGTGACTATTTATATTTATTTTTTAACTATCGATGATCAATTTAGAACTAAAACACTATATTAATTATGAAATTATTAAAAAAAATCTTCTCCGTGACCAAAACATGAACATTAAGCGACTAAATAAGTTATTTACCTTAAAAATTATTGTCGAAAACAAATAAAAATATAGGCAAAAAGGCACCTATGGTCCCTATACTTTCGAGAAAACCAATTTGACCCTCATCCTTTTTTTCGATCAATGTAGCCCTCCAACTCTAAAAAAACCCAATGTGATCCTTTTATAACGGTAGACATTTAAAAGTGTAACTGAGAAAACATTAGATACATATTTTTAACGAAAAAATCTTTAGACACCACAATTTGATTTGAGGTATAGTTTAGACACTTATTTTAGTATTAAGCCTTTTTAATATAATGACTATATTTAAAAAAATAAGACTATATATATAATTTGAAAATAGAAGAAAATTGAATTTAATTATTTAAAAAAATTCAAATATATTTCTTATATAATTTGGAAATAGAAGAAAATTGTATAACTATTGAGGTTCGAATTTAAATGAAGTGGATCTCTGATTTTAAATTCAATGATATGAATCAGCTGATATTGATGGGTGTATTAGAATGTTGGTTATTTGAACAAACTAAAAATACGAAATCTATTAACGATTTCCTCTATATATCTTGAGACAAGGAAATAAAAGGCAAAACACAACCAGAAAAACGCCTCCGTGCCAAAGCTCGAGGAATTTGACTGGAGAGGCATGGCAGCCACATGGGTCATTGCCTTGATCCTGGTCGCAACAACCGTCAACGTTGTTGCAAATACCAATGACCTTGGTGTGAATTGGGGGACGTTGACGTCCCACCCAATTGATCCCAAAGTAGTGGTTCAACTTCTTAAAGATAATGGCTTTAAAAAGGTTAAGCTTTTCGATTCAGATCCTCCTATGGCGGGCTTCTTGGCCGGAACGGGGATTGAGGTCACGCTTGGGATCCCAAACGATCAGCTTGAATTCTTGTCTATAGACTATGAATATGCCAAGGAATGGGTCAAAGAGAATTGCACATTGCATCTTGGCCATGGAGGTGTCGATATCAAGTACGTTGCGGTTGGGAATGAGCCGTTTTTGACTAGCTACAAAGGGAGATTTACCAAAACGGCGTTCCCGGCGATGAAAAACATCCAGAGGGCACTAAACGAAGAAGGTGTCGGGAAAAAAATCAAAGCAGTAATGCCTCTTAACGCAGATGTTTATGAATCAAAATCAGACAAACCGAGCGACGGAGTATTCCGCGGTGATATAAGGGATCTCATGAACAAGATTGTGCGTTTCTTGATGGATAATAATTCCCCATTTGTGGTCAACATATACCCTTTCCTTAGTCTCTATTTGAACAGCGACTTTCCTTCAGATTTCGCCTTCTTTGACGGGGGGTACGCCATTCAGGACAAAAATGTTCAGTACACTAATGTCTTCGAGGCGAACTTCGACACTCTTGTTTATGCGTTGAAGAACGCTGGCACCCCGAATTTGTCCATCATTGTGGGGGAAATTGGGTGGCCAACAGATGGCCACAAAGCAGCAAATAAGGCCAATGCTAAGAAGTTCTACGACGGTCTGTTCAGAGTTTTAGCAAGTGATAAGGGAACCCCACTTCGTCCTGGGGAAATACAGGTCTACCTGTTTGGCTTGTTCGATGAGGACACCAAGAGCATCGAACCGGGGAACTTCGAGAGGCACTGGGGAATCTTCGACTTTGACGGAAAACCGAAATTCGCAATGGACATGTCCGGTAACGGAGCTCACAAGGAATTAGTAGGTGCCAAAGGGGTGAACTACTTGCCTAAGCAATGGTGCGTGTTGGCAAGTTATTCCACGGACCAAAACTTGATCGATGACCAGACGAGTTGGGCTTGCTCCAAATCCGACTGCACCGCCCTCCAGGATGGCGCGTCTTGTTCCGATCTCGATCCTAAGCGTAAGACCTCCTATGCTTTTAACAGTTACTACCAGATGAATGACCAACATGAAGAGGCCTGTGACTTCGAGGGTTTAGGCATGATTGTGAAGCAAAATCCTTCCACAGAATCTTGCAAATTCAGTACTCAGATAGAGGTTGATGGAGCCACCAGGTTAAGTTTTGCGTATGGTGCCATTGCTTCTTTTATTTCATCAATCACCTTGTTCAATTTGTTATAAGTTTGAGGCTCAAATCCTCAAGGTTATATAACCTAAATGGGTTTGGTCTACGTAATATAATAATGTTAGAGCAGTTCACTTTCTCAACCTTATTTTCTCTTTAATTACAAACTTATACGAGTTGCATATAGGGTTTCTGGTCAGTTCTTTTATATTTCATGGATGCAAGTCAGCTATTTTATATCGAATTTTATATATTTGTTTCACATCTTATGCTCTCTTAACTTATAGTATTAAATTAATTACAATTAATAATTTAAATTTTTTAAATAAAATCACAATGCATGCAAACTAATTAATCAATTCAAATAATCAATAGCATAGTTTAAGGAAACAAACACTTAGTATAATGTAAATCAATCACATTATTAAATGTAATCTAGTCAAGAATATATATAATTTGTAAAAGTTGATAAAACTCTCTATATTCAAGTAAAGGTCATATTAAGTTGTATGGAGTAGTTTTAATAGTAAAAATGGATGTTATTTTCTTTTAGAAAATTTGAGTTCGAGCAATTATATCTGTGAAGAATGTGTGTATTATAATAGACTAAGAAAATTCGAACATATACTATAACTTCAATTATTATATAAATCAAATATTTGTTGAAGCAATATTAGATCAATGGAGAATTACTCTTCGGAAACTAAAATTTCATTACACCAAACGTCTCTTGCATGTCTCCAATCTTGCCAATATAATCCACGTCAACAAATTCCCTTAAATTTGAATAACTACTCATGGTCATATCATCTTAAGTCTCGAATTGATATCACTCGTTATAAATTTACAAATAAGAAAATAAAATAAATGACACATAATTTTTTTAATATGGTTTGACTCTACCTACCATTGTTTTGAAAATTGGACCGGATCGGACCGGCCGGTTCAATCGGGAACCGTTGCCTAGTCCAGTTCAAACTAAACCAGTTGAACCGCTATTAGTGAACCGGCCAGAATTGTTGAACCGTTCGAACTGGACCGGCTGAAAATCGGAAAAAACAGCCAATTTTGTTTTTTTTTAAAAAATTAAACCAAATGACGTCGTTTGTTAAACGAGCCAAGTCGAACTCGAGTATTGCTGAGCTCGACTCAAACTCACGAACTAAAAATTATCAAGTTCAACTCGAACTCGAAATATAATATTGAAACTTGAACTCGAAAATGATTGAACTCAAAAAAAATTTAGAAGCTCGATTGAAGTCTAAAATTCGAGCTTAATTGAAGTGAAAGAATAGTTCACTCTATGCTCACCAGAAGGCTCCATGATTTTGAATGTCAAATTACCTCTATTATTTATAGAAGTTAGTTTGGATGCTCTTCTATTTTTCTTAGCCATGTGAGATTGTTTTTTTAAAAAATTAAACCAAACAATATCATTTTGTTATGATTTTTTTAGCCCCAAATTTATTTTTTAATTATAGTTATATATTTATATTTATTATTTAATATGTTTTATCTTAAATATTATGTTGTAGTTAATTTGAATCATTTTGTTTCACTTGATTTTATGGTTTTTAACTCATATATGTTATGATTTGCTTTGAATATGACTTGTGATATAAAAAATTATTTTTTATTAAATATTTTTGATATTTTTATTTAATTTTTAAATAATTATGACGATAGCATGACCGATTCGCTAACCGATCCGGTTATGAAAACCATGCTACCTACTGTCATATTTGGGGAAGAAAAAAAAAGATAATATACTATAAAAGGACTTCATACGGTAGGATAGACAACTTTCTAAAGCCCTAGCGCCCAAAACCCCTCGGACATAAAACTCCCAAAGCCATAAACCCTCGCACATAAAAGTGAAGAGGAGTTTCAAAACTGCCCAAACCAACCGAAAACCAAAGCTAAATGAGGAAGAAGGTGGACGAACGCATCAGAACTCTCATCGAAAATGGAGTTAAAAATCGCCACCGTTCTATGTTTGTCATCATCGGTGACAAATCCCGTGACCAGGCACCTCCGTTTTCTCTCGAAAATCTTTTTTTGTTTGTTTAATTTGTTTCATAAAAGAGAGGAAAAAAGAGCTTTTCAAAGCTTCTCAGGAGCCAGAAGGAGAGTGTAATTTCTTTGCTAATTTCTAAATTTTATATGATTTTTGGCTTTTTTTTTTTTTTGCAGATTGTAAATCTTCACTACATGCTAAGTAAGGCTGTTGTTAAATCTAGGCCAACTGTTTTATGGTGCTACAGGGACAAACTTGAACTGAGCAGGTTTTTTTATCTTAGTTTCAGAAAGTTAGATATATTGCTATTTACTTTATGCAATTCAGGCTTGCTGTTTAATCTTTTTTATAAGCAAGTAGGAAGATCAGCAACCAGACAGATTGAATTTTCAAATGTATTTGTTTTTTATTATTATGGTAATGGAAAAGTGATGGTTATGTTATTGCAGTCACAAGAAAAAAAGGGCGAAACAAATAAAAAAGTTAATGCAGAGAGGGCTGCTGGATCCTGAGAAAGTTGATCCTTTTTCACTTTTTGTGGAAACTGGGGGATTAACCTATTGCTTATACAAAGATTCAGAGAGAATTCTTGGAAATACTTTTGGAATGTGTATATTACAGGTGGCCTTTTTATTGTGTATTGTTTGATTGAGCTGTATATATCTTTTCTTTTTTCCCACATTTCTTTAGTTTGAAACTTGCTTACTTTGTTTTGATTTTAGGATTTTGAGGCTCTGACTCCGAATCTTCTAGCCAGAACAATAGAGACTGTACAGGGCGGGGGATTAATTGTTTTGCTTCTTCGCTCCCTTTCTTCACTGACCAGTCTTTGCACCATGGTTATGGTATGGATTATTTCCACTGTTGCTTTGATTTTTATGATTGTCCAAAAAAATAAGAAAATTGTATGTACTCTCATATGGTACCATGCTTTCATTTCCTCTGTCATCTTTTTATGTCTACCCTGTTTTAGAGTTTATTAGTCCTACATTTGCTTAATTAATGATTGGCGGTTGATAATTTTGGACTACTGACCAGTTCTGTTAGCTTTTGTTTTATTATTTTTCGTTTTGGGCTGGATGGGTGAAGGATGACTCCCTTGCTGTACCTAAAGGATTTATTCTGTCAATGAACTTATCATAATGTTCACCCTTGTTTCTGTATTCACTTACTTCTTAGTGCAATGATCATCTACCCTGCCTGTTTAGCATGTACTTCCAGTCTTAATATGCAGTAGTGTTTGTCTTGTCAGTTGTAGGTTATTATGATCCTGATTTGAATATCTTAGATTCTTTTCATTTTGATATTAATCTTCTCCATGCTACCTTCTTGTTTTAATCGCATATTGTATAGAAGTTCCGGTTGAGTCATCCTCTTACCTTAAGATAATGTATTCAAATCTGCAGCATGATTTGATATTTGTATCGGTGAGGCTGTCCATTTTATTAACTACATTGCTAATACTTGCTTAGCTACTGGTTTTCGTTCTCAAATCTACTTGCACACAAACTATCACATTTGTAACTTATAGAAACATTGCTGATTCAGGATGTTCACGAGCGGTATCGTACAGAGTCCCACTCTGAAGCTGCTGGGCGCTTTAATGAACGATTTTTACTATCTCTCACATCGTGCAAAGCATGTGTTGTCATGGATGATGAGCTAAATATCTTACCTATTTCATCTCATATAAAATGTATAACCCCAGTTCCAGTTAATGAGGTGATTATCTGACTTCCCTGTTGAATTGTCATGGGCTGGATTTTCTGGAAATATTTTTAGGTGTTTTATACTATTCATGGTCATTCTAGATGGGAAAACATTTTTTAATCCAGTAGAAATCTTTGATGTAATCCTTTGGTTAGAACCCCATTTTTGTCAACATAAGTTGGGAAATTCATTGGGAATGTGAAGGCATTTTTATGTGTATAATTTTCTTCTCTCTGATATGGAAAAAGGACTCTGAAGGGCTTTCGGAATCTGAACGGGAACTGAAGAATTTAAAAGAAGAACTAAATGAGGATTTCCCTGTTGGTCCTTTGATAAAGAAGTGTTGTACACTGGATCAGGTTGGTAACATATCTCTTTTACTATTTTCGCATTTGGCTCACCAATTTTTCTTAATTATTCTGGGATTTTTTATGGGTATATTTATTTTCATGTTTGAGTAGGGAAAAGCTGTTGTTATATTTCTTGATGCAATTTTGGACAAGAATCTGCGCAGCACAGTTGCTTTGCTTGCTGCTCGTGGTCGAGGAAAATCAGCTGCACTTGGCTTAGCAGTAGCTGGTGCTATTGCTGCTGGGTAAGATTGCTTGAGTAATGTTATGAAATTTTTTCCCTCAAGTATGATGTCCTCCTTGTTTCCGTTTGATTTTTGTTTAATCTAATGAGAGAACTTACTCTGACAGGTATTCAAATATCTATGTAACAGCACCTAGTCCTGAGAATTTAAAGACCTTGTTTGAATTTGTGTGCAAGGGTTTCAATGCTATTGAATATAAGGTACAGTCTATCCCTTCATTTATGTACGCATTGACGAGCATGTATAGTTGCATGTATTCCGATTTCTTTGTGATGCTTGTATGATTATTTGCAAGGAAAATGCTTCTAGCTTTGATACTTTCATATAATCTTAAGGCAGTTATTATGAAGAGTAACTTATGGTGAGTTTCTTAGCCTTTATACCTTTTTGTGGATTCTTACTCAATTAAATAATTATTCTGCTTGAGAGCCATAAAAACATTTGAAATGAAGGATTTTTTTTTTTGCAGTCTGGCATTTGCAAAAGATAAACTTTTTAGATAAATGATATGATGATGGTGTCTTTTTTGGATGGTTACTCTTGATATCTTTCTCTTTCAACCTTTAACTTACTACCTCTTTTTCCTTCACAGGAGCACATCGATTATGATGTTGTGAAGAGTGTGAATCCCGACTTCAAGAAAACAACTGTGCGTATCAATATTTACAAGCAGCACAGACAAACAATTCAGGTTGAAAAGACATTGATCAATGACTTTTATTTGATCATTTTATTTTATATGCATCTACTGCAAGATTATGTTATTGGATGTAGGACTATTTCCAT